CAGGCAGTTGAAAGGTAACTGTGTATATTCAAAAGTACAGTGTGTACAAAGTCATTGGCCAAATTCATCAGCTGCAGCAGTAACTTGACAGGGTATTTCTGCAGCCTAACGATGCCATTCACAAGTGCCATATCAACTCTATCAATTCTGAGGGGAGCCAATATCCTGTAGAAGTCACTGCAGTGGATAACCTGAGGGAAATACAGTGTATTCGTGCCAAAACTGATCAGTGCTCTAAGGAATTATGTATTAGGCACTTTAAGAAAAGTTTACATCCTACATTGCTTGTATAGAAATTGCATTTTGATCCTGTTGTTGCAGATCCCAGATACTACAGTTCATTGTAACTTAAAAGATTGTTTAAATGGCTTTTGGCAAAAAGTTTGTAACTGTGAAAATGTAAAAAGTATTTATACACTTGGGAAACACAACATTGTAGAAATTCACATACATGTTGCTACGTGATAAAATTAGTAAACAAAAATGCTAAGAGTATGTTTGCATGTGATACAAATGCTACTAAGGCTGTCATGCCTACTTATGACCACAGTCATGCTACTAGCTGGTAAATACTGAGTAAATGTATGGCACAGAATATTGTTTGATTAATTACAAAGACTTTTAGCATTACAAGGTCTCTATATATATGTGTGTATATTAATTACGTGGGCATTCTTGATACTTGTAGTAAAAGAGAAGTACATAACTAATTTAATTTTACACAGAAGTATTTATGCAGATTTTCAGAATTTCATATCAGGAATAACCTTTTTATGTCCATTAGATATAAAAACAATTTGCTAATGTGTTAATTTGCATGTTTCCAGAGCTTGCTGTAGTTATATTGCAAAACAATGCATGTAAGCATTCAGCTTGGAATTTGTCCATGCTGCCAATTCAAAGATGACTGCATGGAAAACTGGTAGTTTAGAACAAATCAGATTTCTGATTTCAATGTACTAAGCACCAATTACTTTGTTGTATATGCTTGTACAAACAAATTCTACATATTCCTATAAACAAAATAAATGAAGAGAGATAATTATGTTATTGTCAGTCCTGAGATGAAACTTTCAACTTCTCTAATAAAAACCTAAAAAATTCAAATCCTTTAGTTTTGACTGCAGTGAATTGCGGGGTGGTGGTGTTATTAATTGCAGATTTTTAGCAAATTGTATTTCCTGTAAAAATGTGCATAGTGTAAATATATTCCTATCACAGCTTATTTAGTCAAAGGAGTCTTTTTTTTTTTTTTTTTTTTTTTTATGTTATATAAGTGATAGAAGCATTGTGCAGCACTAGAGAACTGCCCCAGTGGAGTGCAGCAGCACAACCTGGAAATGCAGCAACCCGAGTGCAGTGTAGCAGCCACTGAGACAGAGGTCAGTGAATCTTTAGGTGTTTAAAGCAGGGTTTGAGCACACTTGTGATGAGTACTCAGAATTCCCACTGTCATGCCACAGCCTGTGAAGGCAGCTCCTGGTCCTTTATGTTTTAAAAGACAAGTTGTGTACTGAGAGCTGCTCTCTGAGCCTGGCTCAAGTGCTGGATGGAGCTGGAAGCAGAAGTGTTTTCAGAGCATGCTGGACAGGATTTTTATGGTGATTTTTCTTTTAATTAAAAATGTCCTCTAAAACAGCTGGTGGAGACAGTGCCGTGAGCTGGTATTGTACACTGTTGCCTACTGCAGTGGTTTGTAGCCCGTGAGGAGGAGCAAATGACAGACCAGGTATGGAGAGAACTGGATGGTGAAGCATCTTAAGCTCACGCAGAGCCTGGCTGGAAAGCCCTGCTGAAGAAACCACTGGGAATGGAGGGCTTGTCCCTGAGAAGATCAGACCTGCCTATTTAATTCCTTGGTGAGCATCCCATCCCCTGAGGGGAAAACTCAGGTTTTGGAGAGACAGAAAATACTGTCCAGAGCCTCTGTCTGAGACTGTGCTCCCTGCTCAGCCAGCAGCAAGACATCCATCAATTCAGACAGAAAAATGGGCTGCTGCGAAACTGCCTAGCAGGAAACCTCAGCTGCCAGGCTCAGCTCCCCACACTGATACCTATTTCATCCACTGACAATTTAGCATAAAATGCAGGCAGTAATTTGAAATTAAGTGATGAATTTTGTCCGCTAAGTGTTTTGAAATACTGTTTAAGCAGTATTTGATTCAGAAATTATTTGAAGTTTGGCCGCTAATGTAATGAGGTGAGAATTTCCATTGAGATGAAATAGGCTAATCAATTTGAACATTGATACTGAGTTAAAGCAGTTTAAAATGTCATTCCCTGCCGGGGTGATAGATTCCACTTCAGTGAAATTTCATGGTGGGAAGTGGCAGATTTTCCCCTCTCTGAATCGCTTCAGATAAATTCAGCTCAGCTGTGATGGGGAGGGTCATGACACCTAGGCAGCCTGCTATTCTTTCACTTGCAGTAATTTGGGGGCTGGTCATTAACTTGACTGTTTCCAGGTGGGGGCCTATTTAAGTCCTGTACCACCTGCATGGGAGTTGAGAAATCACCCAAAATACGCCTCAGGTGTTGTAGCCCAGGGGCTGCCTGTGAAAACAGCTGCACGTGGCAAACACCATTGGATGTAAAGCCCTGTTCCTGCTGGCTGTGTCAGTAGTGGTCCCAGTGCTTTGTGCTCCCTTCAAGCAGTTATGTCTGGGAGCTGTGGGTAGCAAGGGCGATTCAGCCTTCAGAGATACCCACAGAGAGTAAGGGCAGGTGGCAGGGCTGGTTTCAGGTGACCTAGTCTGGGACCATCAACTGTCCCTGGTTGCAGCATTTCAGGGTGCTGATGCTGCACTGGCTCGCTCGGATGAGACCTTTCTGCTCTGTGTTTTAGGGGTTGCTCGGTGCTAGAAAGTCTTAGGCCTTTCCCTTTCGTTTGCCACGGAGAGCAGGATGAAGGCAGCTCTGCAGGCTGGAAGTGGCAATTGTCCCTGGAGCTGAAGGCTTTGTTGTTGTGCTGTGCAGCTGGGGGAGCACAGTTCTGGGCTGTGGGGCAGCCTTGCCCCCCTCCAGCACAGCTGCTCTCTCCCAGCTGCTCCCTGGACCCTCCTGCACAGGCTGGATGCAGGGGCAGCTGCTCAGAATCATGTATTTTGGGCCTTAAAATCTACCTAGAAACGTCAAAAAGGCTGGAAATTAAATGGTGGAGTAGAGAAGGAAATAAAGGGTAGTCAAACACTGAGCTCATCAGTGTAGGACCTGAGGAAGCCAGGCACTAAAATCATCACAGAAGTACAGCCTGTTACAGTCAAAGATTATATTTTCTAGAAGATTAAGTATTTTTCCCTTTATATAGTCCCCTGAAATTATTATCCATAGGTTAATCCTGTACCACAACTGACACAGTTGACTGTATTTGGGGATGTGCACGAATGGCTTTTTATCATGAAGCAGGAGAGAGAGAAGGAAATGGTCAGAATATATTTAATATGTACAGAAAGCAGAAAAGAAATTTCTACGTTATAGTTTAAAAAAAAATCCTTTAGTATCAGTTTTTATTGCTTAAAAAAGCCATTTCCCAGCAAGAAAGCCCCTCTCTGCACGTGTGTGCCCTGGCAGAGAAAGGGCAGTTGCGCACAATCAAAACTCACCTTGCAATATCTTGCTTTGCAAAACTTTGGACCATTTCCTCCAGATGCCTTTTCCTGAACTAGAAATGTGAATTGGTAGTGAATCCAGTAATGCTATCACTCCGGATCGCTGCTGTCCCTTTGGCTTTTTACCGAAAAACCATCCTCAGTGTAGGGCCCTTCATCCCCGCTGCTCCTGGGACTGGTGTCGCTGTAAATCGTAAATATTTGGATGTGCTCCTGGTCCCGAGAGGACGAGAGTGGCAGAGCGTTACAGTTCCAAAAAAAAGGTCCCGGTGAGAGGGGGGAAGAAATATTTCAACGTGGCATCACGGGAGCAAGGGAGCAGCACGGGAGTCGGCCGCGTTTCCCCGCACGGAGCGGCGGCGCAGCCGGGCACCCCGCGCTGGGATCGGCCGCTCCTCCCGGGGCCAGCGCCGCCCCTGCTCCGGGTGACAGCGACGGACGGAGGGAGGGAGGGAGGGAAGGCGCTGCCTTGGCTCGGAGCTGAGGGCCCGGAGCCGGCAGGGCAGGGGGCGGGCAGCCCCCCGGGCTCTCTCCCCGCCTCGCAGCCCCCTCTCCGCCCAGCGCCGGGCCTCGCTGTCTCGCACCTTTGACCCGGCCAGGGGCTAAACCCCAGGTGGGCGCCTGTCCCACCTCCGACGCCACCTCCTGCCTGTCCCCCCAAAAACACACCGCACGGGCATGGGCGGTGTTGTTTCTGTTTTAAAGCACCCTCTGGGTTTTATGTGACGGTGCGCGTTGTGGTTTGCCTCGTCTTAGAGCTCAGGTGTGTCGATGGCCCCTCACAGAATGATGCGGTTTGCTTCCGACCTTGCCACACAAAAATAACTGCACGCTTTTCCTAAATTAACACGCGGAGCAGCTGTTCGCCTTCACCGAAATTAGTGACGCTCTGTGAGCAGCCGGCACAGGAATAGGTATCCCCTCCTCCATCCCGTCGGCCTCTCCGGCAGGGACCGCCGGCAAACCCCGGGGCGAGGGGGTCCCGGCCCCGCTGCCAGCGCCGGCCCTGCCGGGGGAGCGGGAGCGCTGGGGCTGAGCCCGGCTCCGCTCCAGCCGGGCGGCCCGAGCTCCCCGCGGGGATCCCCGGCAGCCCCTCGGCGGGTGCGGCGGGGCCCCGGCGCCGGAGGGAGGGAATCCCTTCTTCCCTCCTCCCCGCCCGGCTGCGCGTACGCCCCGTCCCTCGGCGTGGGCGCTCCATCAGCTCCGCCGGCATCTCCCCTCCTCCTCCTCCTCCCCGCACACCCACACACTTTCCCCGTCCCTCCTCCCCGCCACTCCGCAGCAGAGTGCTTTTGCAGCCTGTGCGGCTCCTGAGAAAGGAGGTGTGCGGCTTTTTTCACCTTCCTTTTTATTTTAATTTTTTTTTTTCCTTCGGAGCGGACCTTTCGGAGGAGCAGCTGCAGCAGCCGGGACAGAGCAGGGAGCATGGCCGGGGGGCGTCTCCCGGGGCTGCTTTTCATCTTGCGTGAGTACCTGGGTGCCGAGTCGCGACACGAAGCCCTGTCGCGACCTGGCAGCCGCTGGCGCTGACGGACTCGGCGCTGTCACGGCACCGGCCTCGCATCAGCGCCACCGGCTGCCACATCTCCTCCACCTGCGCTGTCGCGACAGGAACCCCCCGTCACGATAGAGGAGCTTGCTCCAGCGGGCTCGGGGGGTGGCGGGGGGTGTTAGGGTGAGCGGCAGAGGCTCGGGGCGCCGGGCCCGGGGCTGCCGGCGCTCAGTCCCGCTGTGCCCGCAGACGCCGCGGCTCGCCTGGCCGCCGAGCAAGAAGTTGAAAACCTCTCCGGGCTCTCCCCTAACCCCGAGAAGGACATCTTCGTGGTGCGGGAAAACCGGACGACGTGTCTCATGGCCGAATTCGCCGCCAAGTTCATCGTCCCCTACGACGTGTGGGCCAGCAATTATGTGGATGTGAGTGGGGGCCGGGGGCGGCCCGGGGCTCCAGCAGGACCGGGGATGGCAGGGGACACACACACGCGCACATCTGCCGGTACTTTCGGAAAGTCCTTTATTCCCTCCGAGGATTTTCAGCCGGGGCAGGGGGGGGACACTCGGGGGTCGCCCCGCTGAGCCCCGCTCCCCTTTTGCAGCTGATCACGGAGCAAGCCGACATCCCGCTGTCGCGGGGCGCCGAGATGAAGGGCAAGTGCGGCACGAACGAGTCGGAGCTGGAGCTCTCCTGGCTGGACCAGGCGTACACCCTCAAGCTCTCCTTCCTGAAGGTACGGGCTGCCGGGAGCCGGGCCGGGGCCGCGGCGGCTCCGCGGGGTCCTGACCGGCCCTGTCTCGGCAGGAGGGGCACAACACGTCCCGGGGCCCGGAGGCGTCGTGGAAGCTCAGCCGGATCCAGTTCACCTACGACACCTCCGAGCGCACCTACTTCAAGGATGCCGTCAGCCGTAAGCGCCCGGGCTCGGGCTTTAAGGGAGATCCCGGCGGGCGAGCGCGGGGCCGGGCTGCGAGGGGAGCATCCCGCGGCTGCTCCTAAATGTGGCTTACGGGGAAAAGGAAACCCCAAATCCTCCCGACAAAGTCGGGACCAGCTGCCGGGTTTAAACCGCATATTACAGGTTGGGGTTTTTTTTTTTTTTTTTTTTTTTTTTTTTTTTTCCCCGCTGTTTTTTTTTTTTTTCCCCCTTGTTTTTAAACGCCGCGGTTGCCGGGGGAGGGAGATCCCAGCTCTGCCCCGTTTGCTGCGCTGTCCTGTGGGAGCCACGGCCCCAGGGGTGGGACAGGGAGACACCTGGGCTGGAAAAGCTTGTCTCCTTTCCTGTGTGGAGATTGTTTTTGAGGTTAATCCCGATGATGCTTGAATAGGTGGGAAAGCAGCAGTTCCCCAAGATAACTGAGATTGACATCAGTATTATACCCCTACACACCTCCACACCCAGCAGCCTCCTCTTTTCTCACTGGGTTTCCATTCTTTTGGTTTTCATTTTGCTTTTATTTCATTTTGGCTCAGAAATGTGTTGTCTTGAATTGAAAAATGAAATATTGTCATTTGCAAATCGTTCTCCCTCAGGGTGTTCCAACTCCAGTAAATAGAGCTTTTAGAGTTGTTGCCATAAACCATGTTGGTTTTAGGGCTGTTTTCCCACTGGTGTTCCCACTATTTGAGGCCCCAAAACACGGAGCTGGACCTGCTGCATCAGCCCCTGCCCATCAGTGAAGCATCGATTGCCTTTTTGTGCTGCTGGAGGGGAACAAAGGGCTGCAGGAGAGCGGGAGGTGGAAGATACCCCTCATTCCACCTGCCTTTGCTTGCAAAACAAGCTTGGTGTGATGGGAAAATATTTTCTCTAATTGATACCTGGGTGAAACGGTCACGGTGTATTTTCGGGAAAGGCTTCGTGGCCTGTCTTGCTTTGCGGGGTGGTCCCCAATGGCACTGCTCCTTCCCAGCTGGATTCAGAGCCCATTCAGAAATGGGTGTTTCCCAAATGTGGGGAGCACAAGCGCGGTCCCGGGCTGCACTGAGTGCCTGTGAAGGGGAACCCTTTGGCGTTCTGGACTCCAGGCGCTGTGACGGGAGCGGAGCTGGCGGCAGCAGAGCCAGCTGTGCGCTTTGTGGCGCAGTTCGGTGTGCTGGAGCTGTGTCCCGCTTGCGGGAGGCCATCCCGGTGCGGGAGCTGCCCCGGCTGTGTGGGGTGTCCCCAGAGGCCGGGGGGCAGCCCGGCAGGACGCCCTGGAGCAGCAGGGCGCCGCTGCCGCATTGCGCCCGGCCGTGTCACGCACGCGTTCGGTTCGCTGCCTCTGCTCGTGGGGCCCCTCGGGGCCGGGCCTGACCCTGTGTGTCCCCTGGCCAGCCGGGAAGCACACGGCCAGCTCGCACCGGCTCTCGGCCCTGGTGACCCCTGCCGGGCGGTCCTACGAGTGCCAGGCGCAGCAGACCATCTCCCTCGTCTCCAGCGACCACCAGAAGTCCGTGCAGCTCCTGCTGTCGGAAGTGCGGCTGCAGCCCTTCGACATCCCCGCGGATTTTGTCTTCAGTGAAGGTAAGGAGCAGGCAGAGGCACCTCCTGCGTTCCCGAGGTGCTGATGCTGCCACGGCCTTTGGGGATGTTGTGAGGTACTGAAGGAATTTGGGTCCCACCTTTTCCAGAGCAACCTTCCCCTCACTGTTACCAGTGCTCCCTGCAGTCCCATTCCAACCCATTCTGTGGTCCCCCAAAAGGCTTTACAAATTCAGCCCAGCTGCCAAAACACGACCTGTCGTTGTATGCTTCTGTAAGTACTTAGAGTCAGATTGCCAGCCAGCCCCGGTGCAGCATCCCTGGGGAGCCCTGCAAGGCTGAGGTGTCTCCTCTGCAGCACAAAAATGCTTCAGCACAGCCCCAGGGGCTTCTTGGGGCTGGTGCACACTGAGGAAGCCTGGGGGTGCACCTTCCTGGCTGCAGTTTGATTAATGCCCATTGTGAGGGGGAAGGAGGTGTAACAGGGACTTCCGTGAGGCTCCTCGAGCACCAAACACATGGGATGCCATTCTGCTTCTGGGATTCCTCAACATCCATGGTGGAGGAAAGAAAACCTGAGTTAAAACATGCCCTTTGCATCAAAGGGTTGCACCGGAGTCTGCGGCAATGCTGCCATGGGACAGGATTCCTGCAGTCTCAGGTTGCTTTATCCCAAGGAACCCATGGTGCTCCTCCTCCCTGGCTCCCCCTTGGTTTTCCCATCGGGTTGAATGAGGCAGTGTAGTCATACCTGGATTAGGTCAGACCAGTCCCATTTCATTGTGCTGCCTTAGCACTATAATTAGTCAAACCCGTTATTGTAACCAGGTGCAAATAAAATGTGTAATGGCCAGCTCTTTTAATAACGAGTTAGAAAATTGTGGTATTCAAGCCTAGCATTAAAAACGTGGAGCTTTATTATTTAGCATGTGGGAAATATTTTGGAGCACAATGAAAGCCCAGCACTGACTGCAGAGCTGAGTGGTTGCACTCACGACTCGCATCCTCTCACCGATGTTGTAAATTTGTGCTGCTGCATGTGCTGGCTCTGGCAGAGCTCTGCCTGGCTGAATTACTCACAGCAAGGCCAATGTTACACTGAGTAGGTTTTATCCGTGGGCAGGGTGTTTTTGTATCAAAGTAGTACCACATTTTTCTTAGATTTACAGGGAGAAAACCGTAGAACTTAATAGTTTGCTGTAATTTTTGTAGTTGGCGTAGCTTTACCCTCTTTTTTCCTCCTGTGGATCCAGGATTGCTGCACTCAGGGTTGAGCTGGGCAGACCTTGGGGGCTGAGAACAGCGTGTTTAAAATATGCAAGTCTGTGTCTCCATGATACCAAACTCGTGAAGTCCTAGAGCTCCCAGTTAAAACAACCAAACTTGGGGCTCACTGCCAAAGGAATCTACCTGCTGTTTTCATGATATGCTCATTCCTCTCAGGCAGCAAATTTGTTTCTATTTTGTTTTCTCTTTTGTTGCTGTAGTTTGGAGGCTTTTCTTTTTCCAGCACACAAAGAGATGATGTTGGTTTAGCAATCTTTAAACACACGGAGGGAATTCCTCCTCCAGAGGACAGCATGGCTTCTCTCTTTGTCAAGCTCAATGGGGTTTTTGTAGTTGTTGCTCTCATTATTCAATTACACTCGTTTTTGTTGAATTCCACTGGAAGTTAAGCAGCAGAGAGCACCTGGAGGGGTGGTCAGAGGTGCTGGGAGGTGATTTATCAAGGGGGCTCCATCCAGGGCACTGCCGCTCTCCCAGCGGCGCGTTCCCTCCAGCTGAGCTCGTCCTCAGCACACACACGGCAGAACAGGATCCTTTGTGGGGTCTGAGAGTCACTGCCAGTCTCAAATTATAGTAATTAGCCTTCTCCTTTTTGCTTCATTAATTTCCCATTAGGTAAAATTCCTATTAATTATGAACAAGCTACAAAACATTCTAAAATATTTTGGTGTAGAGAAAGAGACCTGCTAGAGCAGAAGAATCACCAAGACACAGGAGGGTTGGGGCCCTTTTTCCACAAAGAAATGGGGGAAGGTTTCTTCATTAGTCCTGACACTGTCCTGGCAGGGATAGGTTAAAAAGCTTGTAGAGAATGATTGGATAGTCTTTGGTTTTTTTGAATGCTGAAATTCACATGCTAGAGTATTTTTTTTTTTTTTTGGGACCCTGCTTCCAACTAAATTCACATGCTAGAGTTTGTTTTTTTTGTTTTTTTTTTTTTTTTTTTGAGACCCTGCTTCCAACCTTCACAAATCCACATTTATTTATTTATTTATTTGAATTTTTATTTTTCAATAGAGAAGCAGCAGAATTTTTTTTTCTCACAGAATTTGCTATTTTTTTTTTTAATAGGGAAAGTGTGTGTACATTTTTCAGCTTAGAACATGAGTAAAATGAGAGTTGGATCAAGAGGGTAGGAGAAGATTTAAACTGACGAAAGAACCCCAGAGAGACTGTCAGTTCTTTGATTTTATATCTAAAAATTCCAATCTGAAGTAATATGATGAAAAATAGTAATACAGAGGGATACCACAGCTGATAATCAGGGACTGGGATGCTGGGGTGGCTCAGAGGGAGCTGTGACCTCCCACTTGAGGGCCACATTCTCTCAAGGGTCCTTTGCTCCAAGGTATGCGGCCACTTTTTAAAAAACACCTGGTTTCTCTTTCTTTAATTTTTTAAAGTGTTTGCTTACAAACCCCCGTCTCAAGATCCCAAGCCCTTGTCCGGGCTGGTTCCCCCGCTGGACAGTCCCTGTGCTGGTGCCTGCGGGAGGGCGCTGTGCCTTCTGCCGGGTTTCTCGCCGTGTGTGCGCTGCAGAAGGATTCTGGAAGGGGAAAATGGGCTCTCGGGTGCTTTCACAGCCCGGTGCTGGAGCTGGGCGAGCGCTCACCATAGAAACCGTGGCAGTACGTGAGCCTGGGAGGAGGCGCGGCACAAAGGAGCGGTGAGGAGTGTACCCGAACACCTCCTTTGTATCCATCTGCAGTGGGCGTTGCACGGGGCAGGGGCTGGGGTGACACCACCCTGCCGGAGGGGTGACCCCGCCGCGTTCGGGGTGCGGCAGAGCTCCCAGCCTCGCCCGAGCTTCCTCTTTTTTGCCAGGGACCTTCTTGCTTCCGTGCACTGAGGGTAAACCCCAGTAATTTGGGAAATGCTGAGATCCTGTGACCTGGAGTGTAATACTGAGGAAAATTTGACAGAAAGGGCTGTTTTCCTGCAGGGTCATTAATTTTGCAATCATAGCTGTTCCCAGTGCAGTGGTTCTCTGTTTGTCAAGCATCAACCTACCCATATTTGAGGGGATTGAACATCCAAATTTGCCTGCCATGGACTTGATGCAAACCCTTCTCTCCTCCTGTTCCCCCTTTTCCTATTCCTGTGCTGATGGAGCAGGAATGATGCCTGCTGCCTGCCTGCCTCCCTGCTGTGTTGTGGACCTCAGTGCCTTTGCTTGGAATTCTTGGGGTGAAAAATGCTTCATTTGAATTCCTGGGGTGAAAAAATGCTGTATGAATGTTAAAGTACCTTGTTACAAATGTGAAAGTATTTTTATTTGTCATAAAAATATGTAGATCAACATGATACTAATGTTAAAACAGCGAATTCACCCTCCCTGCAGTCAGCACCCAGAGCCTCACTCCTGCTGCAGATGTGCTTGTGCTTTGCACTTCCCAGTGCCTCCATACTGGGTCCCCCCATTCCCATTCCCTGCAGTCTCCAAAGAGGCAGGCTTTGGTGATCTGCTCCAAAAGGGGAAAATGGGTGTTTCTGGTGGGGAGAAGGTGTGGACAGGACAGAGGCAGCTGCTCTGCCCAGGGAGGTGCAGTGGCTCCAGCTGCATTTGGGGATGTGCTGCTGGAGACTGACACCTTTGCTGAACGCTTTTTTTTTTTTTTCTCCTTCCTGTTGGCTTTCTTTATTATTTTATTTTAATCCTCTTAAAAATAGTGTCAGGATAAAGAACTCTCTTCCTTGGTTGCTTGCAGGAGCTGACACCTTTTTGAGTTGTGACACAGACCCTTAAACACAGCCGTGGCTTTCAGTGGACCACAGATCTCTGGCCACGTCCTCTGGTGTGGTTTGTGCCCTGCAGCCGGTTTGCTTTGGCAAAATGTTGTGGAATTCAGATGTTACAAGTGGGTGCTTTAGAGCTGGGTCTGTTTTCTGCACTGGTGCTTTTAGCTTTGCCTTCTCCACTGGCTGCAGCCCCCCACATCCAGCCTGTTCTCCTGGAGTGTTCCTGTTTGGGGAATGAGCACGGGGAATCCTCCCAGCTGGGTTCCAGCAGCTCTATTTCCATCTTCTCTTGGGTTTCAGCTAAGCCACTTTCCAACCAAAAATCAGTGTCCAGCCAGAGCGATCTCCTGCTCGTTGGCAGCTCAGCACATCCCGTCTGCAGCCATGTGGGGAGTGCACAGGAGCTCCTGGAGCTTGGATCCTTCCCAAGGGAATGGTGCTGCTTTGCAGCTGTGGGGAGTGGGTCAGAGCAGCCCTGGCCCCACAGCACTGCCCTGTGAGTCAGCTCAGCCTGGGCTTGTGTCCCTGTGAGCTGCTCAGGCCTTAGCATCCTAAACTGGGAACAATTCCACGCAGCACCAGAAACCCAGTTTTGGGAGCTAAGTAATCATCAGGATGTCTCCCCCCATTCTCCTTACTACAAACAAACAAAACCCCTGCATTGCAGCAATTGCTGAATCGCCTGTGCCACAGTCCTGGTGATTAATCACTCCTCTGGTGAAACAGTGAGCAACTGGAACTGAAAAGGACATTCTTTAGTGTTAGACAACATTCCACTTTTGCTTTTTTTTACACAGCCTTTCTATTTTCCTTTTTTCTTTTTTCCCCTTAAAGTTGTCTTTGTTTTCAGCACATTTCTACTACAATGAAGACAGAATTGTCCTTCCTGTATCACGTACCCCTTTTTTTTCCCCCAGAACTGGCACTTTTCTTCTTTTTAGCCTGGCAGCCCCGTCGCAGCAGCCTGGGCCCTGCCTGTCCATCAGCACGGAGAAGCAACAATCCTGTGGGGAAAAAATGTGCATCCTGTCACTCTGGCCTGCAGTAGACCCTGGAAGTGTAAGGGAGCAGAGCCAGGATTACCAGTGTACCATGCTTCCTGACCTTAGTGACCTTTCCAAGCTCAACAGAAAAGTATTTTCCCATTGTATCACTGTTTTCTAGTGGTTTATTAGGCTGTGGCAAAGACTCATCAGAGAGACAAGAACACTGGCGGGGCTCACGTTGCTTCTGCTGCTCCTTTGCTGTATTTGGTGGACAATGTGGGTGCTGGGGTGCTGTTTGACACAGACACACACACGCTGTGTGTGCTCTGCCAGGGCTGGTGCCAGGAGCTCCTGGAGAGGGACAGCGGTGCTGTTGGGCCTCTGCCAACTTGCAGATGAGGGGAATCTCTGGGTGATGTGCAGGGTGAGTCTGGTGCAGAATTAAAGCCTTACTGGCACTGAGGCCTCCCAGAGTCTGCCTGAACGAACAAAGCAGCTCTTCAGTCACCCAGGAACCCTGGGCTTTGGCTGCCCCGTTCCCAACACGGCCATCGATGTGTGGCAGAGGGCTGAGCTTATGGCATGGAAGTGTTTTTCCAGTGAATGGGCTGGTTTGATAGATGCAGCCTCTCCCTGTGTTGTGAGTGGTTCCACTTTGCTCCAAAGCAATTGATTTTCTCCCCAGGGCTCTGCCGGCAGCTGCGGCCACTCCGTCCTGCGCGGAGCCGTGACCGGGGAGCGCCGGCAGCGCAGCTCGCAGCGTCTCGGCCGCGTCCCTCGCCAAGTCCCTCTTCCCCTGCACAGTCTCATCCATGTCCCTCTTCCCCTGCAGAGTCTCAGCCATGTCCCTCTTCCCCTCTCCCTTCCCCTGCAGAGTCTCAGCATTCCCCCTCTCCCCTCTCTGTTCCCCTGCAGAACACAAGTGCCCGGTGGACCAGAGGGAGCAGCTGGAAGAAACGCTGCCCCTGATCCTGGGGCTGATCCTGGGGCTGGTGATCGTGATCACCCTCGGCATCTACCACATCCACCACAAGCTGACAGCCAGCCAGGTGCAGATCCCTCGAGACAGATCTCAGTACAAACACATGGGGTAGGAGCAGGACCGAGCAACTCGAGCATTGATCAGGTAGAAACAGCAAAAGCACTTTTTCTGTGGGTGAGAAAACATTCTGGGGGGCAAGGGATGGTATTCACAGCACCTAATCCTGAGTATTTCATGGAGACACTCAGGCTAAGGCTTGGCTTTAACACAGCCTCTGTAAGGAGAATCAGTGTCTGAGGTGTCTGTAGGTGGTTTGAATACCTTCTTTAAGCAGCTGGGCTGATCATCTGGAAACAGAAACACTTCACATGTCAGAGTTTCACACTGGGAGCACAATTAGCTTTCTTGTTTTATTTATTTTTCCCTTTTTCCCATCTCAAGAGGTTCTTACCTCCCCCTGCATCACCTTTGGAGCATTCAGCCCTCCACATTCCTGTCTGCGCGGGAAGCAGGGCTGGGAGACAGAGCCATTGCACAGGGCTCATTCAGGCCCTCTAGTGAAGGGACTCAAACCACATCCCCCAGTTTGCACTCATGTTAAGAAAAGCATGGAGGCAAATGCAGGTGTGCTTTGGGGAAAAAAAATAAAATTCAAGGTCAGTAACTCCAGTGGAGCAGATCACAGCTGTGGAGCTGACCCCACACTTGACACTGGGTGAAGAAAGTTTGTTTTTGCTTCTTGAGCCACATCTGAACTAAACTTAGGAAAAAAAAAAGTAAAAAAAAAAAGTATTGATACACAAATTATAAAGTGCCGTGCTACTGCAAGTCAACTGAGAAATGCTTCTGGCTGGGCATCCTGCACGTGTTGTGATTGTGGTTGAGATGTTACATTGCTACCTGCAACTGATAATTTTCACAACAAAACAAAAAACAAAAAACAGAAAAAGAAAACAGTAATGTTAAAGTTACTATGCAGATTATTCAGGTGTAATCTAATGTAACAGAAAAATATAAGGGAACCCTTGAAATCTATCCTTAAATGTAGACAATTTTTAAAATTAATTAAAACATGTACACACATAATGCTTGATTTGCCTTCTTAATTTGAAATGTTGTAATGCTTTGTCCTCGCTCCACAGTACCAATGGAATCAGAACACAAATGCATCCTCTGAGTGGATGGCACGTGTAGGATTTATTTCCAGCAGTGGTTGTGCTGCAAATGGCTTGGTGAGACATGGTGGTGGTGGTTCAGTATTCTGTCATTTGTTGGTTGTCCCTAATTATCTCCTGTCTCTTGGTTGCTTTTCCTGAGTGTTGTGTGGGCAGTGATGTGTTTTATTCCAGCACAGTCCAATTCCCACTGAGCCCTTTGACTCCACCTGGCTCCAGTGTTACCTCAGCAGGAGTTAGTCCAGGCCTTGTGTCAGTTTAGGGTGTGGAAAATACTTCCTTCTTCTAAAACTGATTTAATTCAAACAGAGGCTTGATTGTTTTCTTTCAGCTTAAAACAATCAAAAATAGTAATTTCAGTGTTGGAAAAAGGCAAGAGAAGAAACGTAACTGTTCTTTAATGCTGTAGTCTCCTCCAAAATTCATGGGTTTTTTGATGAAGGTGGATGCAGCATGAGCCTTTAGTCCTGCCTTGTTCCTGGTCTCATTTCTGTGCTGTGCTCAGCTGTTTTCTCATTTGGATGCAAAAAGCCAATTATGGCCCTAACGATGATTGTGGCTTTGCCCTTTTCCTTCAGAGCTGCAGTGAAAGGGTCCTGGGTGAGCTTTAGACTGGCCAAGTGCCACTGCCTACAATAAGCTGGTAATTAAAAAAGACAAGAAAAGGTTCTTTTAGAGGCAGTTAGGAAAAGGCAGAGGTAGCAGGAGGGTGAGTAAAAGGATTAAAGGTTCATCCCTAATAGAGAGGAGCTTTGTCCTGCCTCAGCCTTGTGTGCCCTGGGGCCAGGAAGGCTCTCCCAGCCAGCTCCCGTCAGCCTGGCACATGTGCCGCTGTGACCTCCCAAGGAATAACCAAATACAAAAAGGAAGCCAACAGCTGAGCTGAGATGCCAGAGGAGCCCCTGCACCGCCTTTGTCTCCTGGAGAGGCCGTTCTGGCAGGGGCTGTGGGAAAGATGGGAGAAGGCTCCAGGTGGAGCAATGCCAGGCACTCGGGGACATTCCCACCTTGGGAGGGGAGTTCAGGGGCTCACAGGGAGCTGGGCTGCTGGGGACGCGGTGCCCAGGCTGCTCCGGGACGGGGCTGTGCCCTGCCCTGCCCGGCTGCAGCCGCTCTGGGGTCAGTCCGGGCGCGTTCCCCCGCTGCAGCCCGGCCTGCCTGCCGGAACAGCGATCCCAGCCCTGGGCTGACAGGGACACACGCTGCCTGTGGCGGCCCCGGAGCTGTCCTTGGCACCCCGCACCCACCCGCCGGGGCACCCACGGGACCGTCCCTGCCTCGGCCAGAGCTCTGCCCTGCTGCCAGCGCGCACGGGACGGGGACAGCCCCAGAGCTGCTGCTGCTCCTGTGCCCGCTCGGGGGGCTGCTGCTGCTGCTGCTGCTCTGGCAGATGAGGGTTTCCCTTCGGAAGCACCTGGCATCACCTTCAGGGGCTGAGTGGTCTGTAAGCTATTAGGAACAGAATTCCAGGAATGCAGTCATGAATTTCTTGGTTTTCTGAACTGACAGAAAATATTTTTTTTATTGGACCGAAATGTTTTTGCTTTTTGGGGAAGAAAGAAAAAAAATTAGTAATTTAATGTCAGTGACAGTTTGTGTCGCAGACTGATGTATCTTGATTGAAAAAAAAAGTTATTTAAGGTTTTGGGTGAAAACCTTTTAAAATCTTTCAATTCTCTCCATCCTTTTGCTCACATTTACTAAAATTGATCTGAATTCTCCATTGCTTTAAGCTTTTCAAGCCTATTTCTGAAAAATTATTTATGAGAGCGATTATGTCCCGCTTCCCTCCTGCTTGTCAAACTGCAGCAGCATCTTCAGGATGGCAGCACTTTGTTGTGATTTAATTTTGTATTTAGCTTTCGTTTATTGATGGCTTTTTATGGGTGAGCTGCAAATTGAAAGCTTTGCTTTCTGGCTGTTTATGAACCCAGCAGCAGAAGGTGGATAAATACACCTTATCACCCTACTGAGCTCTGCCAGGACCTGTAATAATTAGGCACTTACTAAAGCAGCTGCTAATGACTTACGCAGTACTTGTGATTAGAACTTTAATTATCAATTATTGATGTATTGCTGAGGAGGGGGCTGACATAGCCAGGCAATGTCCTGGCCTCTGCTACCATGGTGAGTATTTGGGAGTGGTTTTAGAACTGTGAGCGCAGAAACAGCCACCATTCCTTAGTGATGGGGGGAATAATTCCATTGGGATATGGGCTCAGCTTCTGAGTGAATGGATGCTCTTCACATGCCTTATCTGTTTGTTTTTAGGTGATGGCATTACGTTTTTACAATGTATTTTGAAGTATTTACTGATGTCAGAAACCAAAAGTAATAGAAATCCTCACCTGTAAGACTTGAGGGTAGCAAATAACATTGTAGATTCATCAGCTGAGTGATGCTGCTGGGAAACTGGGGAGAACTGCTGCCTGTAGTGTGAGAGGTCAACAGCTGGGAGCTAAAAATTGGGGATGTGTAAGGCAAAAAAGAGAGGGATTATTCAGGGGATAGAGAAAGGAAGGTGGAAATGCACTGACAGAAATCACTTGGGGCAGCTCTATAAATCACTATTTATATATGTATGTGGATATTTATATATCATACACGTGGATCTTGTATGTGTGTGTGTGTATATATATATATATATATATATATATATATATATAAAATAAGAACACTTTTTTCCTTTATTATCTGCTTGGTCCAGTACTGTGGGACTGGGTCAAATGTGTAAAGTAGAAAAAAGGCATAGGGGAAAAAAAACCCACACACTGAAGCTTAAAGTGTTTATTAATTAATTTATTTAACTTGCATGTCCATTTGTCTCACCAGTAGCTGGTGTTCACAAAAAAACCCCTTTGAAATCGACAAAACTCTCAGTAAACTCGATGAACACTGCTTAAAGTATCTAATGATAAGAAAGTTGCAGAAAATTCTTCACTTGTACAGCCTAAAATGTGCTGAATATTGAAGAAAAAACTCCCCCCAACCCCCTTTTTTATTCAAAGATGGTTAAAAAATGTAATTTTGTAGCTAGTAAAGTTGTGCCGTTGCCTGGACTGGTGCAGCCTGGTTTCCTGAGTTGTCAAGACTACAAAAGAGCCCTGGGAGGCTGGGGGTGCTCCCTGCTGGGTGGGCTCCGGGAGCCAAACATTTTCTTCAGTGTCTTCTTCAACTGTGCAAACAGGGATGGGGAGAGAGAGCACGGGGGATAAGACACTGATGTAAGAACAGCCATTCCATGCTCCAGATCATTCTTACCTCCTTTTTTCCTTTTTTTTTTTTTTTAATTGCTTCTCTCCCTCCAAATATTCTTTAAGGGCAGAACTAAAGGAGCTTTTTTACTATTGGCAACTCTTTTCTCCCAGAGGAAGATCTTTAAGCAACAGCTCCTGCCAGGTGTAGATGTTTGGTTATAATTTACTACAATAAATAACAATTAATTTATTAACTATGAAATTTCATAATAAGAAAGAAACTGTGTTTTCACAAAGTTGGCTTTGTGGTTCTTAAAGATACCATAAAATGAGGTCAGTAAGAAAAAAAAACAAACTTGAAAAACATGGCTTTTGTATTATACAGAATTAAAAAAAAAACTAATCGTTAATAAATAAAAATCAGTTTCTCATCGAAGTAATTATGAAGCACTTCTAAAATTTTAAAGGCAAACCTATTTAGGCCTACAGTTAACATGCAAAGTCATCCAACAAATAACACAAAATTGTACCGCAGTAGTCAACTGTTGCATCAACATTCAGAAAGGTCTAGACAGCAGCACGACTTCTCCTCTATGGCAAACGCCTGGCAGCACATCCATCCCATCCCCACCCATCCCATCCCATCCCATCCCATCCCGTCCCCTCCCACGGCGCTGCCCCAGCTCCAGGCTGCTCCGGGCTGGCAGCAGCACTCTGCTGTCCCTCTGCACGGCCAGAGCTGGCAGCAGGCACGGGGCCGCTGTGGTGGCACAGAAAGAGAGGGGAGCAGGGCTGGGCAGGGGGGATCGGCTCCAGCCCGGGAACGGGGACACCCCAGCGGGGCTGGGGCTGCCACCGAGTGCCCCAGGCCAGGCGCTCCCTCCGCCCTCAGCTGCCCTGGCAGGATGAGCCCCCTCCTCACCCCATGGGAACTCTGAAAACCTCACAACTTCCTAAAGGTGGCTGTGGTTTCTTTTCTTTTTTTTTTTTTTTTTCTTTTTTTTCTCCTGTTTTCAAAAGGGTTAAAAAAAGTAGGAAATTTCATCTTCTGAAATTGTCGCTAAGTTACACTTATTACTTAACTAACACAACAGTTACATGACAAAGTATTGCAAGTTATCAAAACATACTGTACAGAAAATTACAAACTTCTTGCAAAATACATTGCGCTGCTCTGACCGAGATAAAAAGTGCTTTGTTTTGTCAGAAAAGTGTTCTTCGGGAGCAGGAGTGCAGCCCGCGGTTCTGTACACGGCCTTTCCTGTACACGGCGGGGCTGCCTTCCTCCTCAAGGCTCTCCTCCTCCTCCTCCTCCTCCTCCTCCCTGCCCGCGGGCCCCGAGCCGGGCTGTGCTCCGAGCCCTTCCCGGGAAGGCTCAGCGGTGCCTGTGCTGCCTCATGAGGGGCACGATGCAGGAGGGGGGCCCGGCCAGCTTCAGGAAGGGGTGCCGCAGCAGCTCCTGCGCCGTGGCTCTCTGCGACGGCTCCCGCACCAGCATCGAGTCCAGGAAGCCCCGCAGGACCGAGGAGACCTGGAACACCGCACTGGCGTTAGGGGTGGGCAGAAGAGCCCCCTCAGCTGAGCTGGCTCTGTGCATGCTGCTTGCTTTGGGATGCTCTGATCTTCCCCGCTGCAGCAGCTGTGCCGAGCAGAAGGGCTGTGGGTTTTTGCTGTGTTTGGAGTATTTGGGTGTCACTGGGCGCAGAACAGCATTAAGGTAGGCTGAGGGCTCGGGTCTGATGGAAACACCCCCTAAGTGGGAGGTGCCCCAAGGCCTTGGCACCTCGCCCACCGGCAGCAGGGCGGTGAGCGGAGCTGCTCTGGCCCTCGGGCAGGGTGGGAAGCACAGGGAGCGTGAGGCTGTGCCCAGCTCCCTTTGCCATCACTGCCTGCAAACAGTGCCGGGGTCGGGCACAACCACGGCCGTGACCGACGGCTTCGGCCTCTCCTCCTCCCCACGGGGGCCCTGTGTGGGACCCTCTGCTCAGGGGGCCCCTTAGAGCGTGAGTTACGGTTTGGGGGGCAGGTGTGCCCGCGGTGTCCCTGCCCACGGGGCTGTGCCAGGCCCAGTGCCAGGGCAGGCTGACCTTGTGCGTGTCCTTCACGCGGGGCGGGAGGTTGTCCCGGATGCGGCGCATGGCCTGCAGCGGCGGCTCGTTGAAGTACGGGGGCTCCCCATCGATCATCTCGATCACCATGATGCCCAGGGACCAGATGTCCACCTGCAACACACACAGGGCTCACGGGCACCGCTGGCACAGCAGCGGGGCCAGCAGGCTCAGCACTGCGAGCCAGCACCATCCGTCTCTGGTTTTCACCCGGCCAGCCGTGACCTTCCCTCTGGCAGAGTGCCTGACAGAACAGAGCAGCAGGAGCTTACAGAGCAGCTCTGCAGCTGGCCCAGGTGCTGCCCACTGGAAGCCCCACGCCTGGGAGAGGCTGTGTCCTGCTGCCCTGCATTCCAGCTGCACTGACTTGCACCCACTGAGCGCCACCCCCAGGCTGCCTCTGCAGCTGCTGCAGCTTCACTGCTCTGGAATCACTTCCTCTATCCCCCCGGAGCTTAAAGACTATGGGAACTCCATTCAAGACCCCAAGGCAAATGCAAACACTCACTACAGCCAGGCTTGTTTACAGCCACCACAGGTAGCACGTTATGTAACACCTTTGGAAAGTGATTCAGCTCCAGCTCAAAAAAAAAAAATTTTTTTTTCTTAGTCCTGGTCTGCTGCAGAGCTGCTCCAGAATCCCAGTCCTCTGATGACTGTAATTCCTGTCATTTGCCAACCCAAATACAGCCAGGGCCAGTTCATTCTGCTTTTGCTCTTTTGCCAACACTATCTTTTAGCTTAAATCCCTTTTTTTCCCCCTTTCCCTTCTGGTGGGGAAACTTAATGCAGCCCTAAGTTCATCCACTTTATAATCCCCCTAAGCTATTAATGGGCTAATAATAGTTGATGCTGTTATCTCTGGAATGTCTTCTACAACAGCACAGATCCTGGGTGGAGAGCAGTGCCTGCAGGGTGCTCCTCCTGTGCCGTGCCAGAGCAGTGCGAGGATGGAGCAGCTCCTGCCCAGCTCATCCCCCCGTCCCGTGTAAATCTGTACTTCCAGATGTGTGTTCTGCACAGCTGTGTGCGGTGAAGCTGAGGGCAAACACGGCGTGTCCCGGCTCTGCGGCGGGCAGCGTGGAGCCCCGCACAGCTCTGTCCCCAGGCAGGGCGCAGAGGCAGCCGCGTCCCCAGGGGAGCTGTCACTGTCACCGCTCCCGCAGAGGGGCTTCTCCCACCCCCGTCCCCCTGCTGATGGCAGCAGTGACTGCCAGGAAGGAGCCCGTGTGGCACCAGTCCTAGCACAGAGGGTGGCAGTGCAGCCCCCAGCTGGCCCGGTTTGGGACCCTCCAGCAGCCGTGCTTCCCTGGCACTCCTCCGGAGGGGGGAACGGCAGCATGACAGCAGAGGGGCCCTGGTGTCCCACACACTGGTGGCACCGGGCTGGGCAGGAGGGGCTGGGAGGTGGCTGCTGCTTGGCACAGGCAGCTGCGCCCACCTGCACTGCAGCTCCAGCCTGCAGTGTTAAACAGCAGCACAGGGCCTTTCACAGTGTGCAAACGAGGCACTTCCCTTTACTACAGCATCCCGAGCCCAAATACGTAACGGCATTGCACTGCTCAGAGTGCTAAATGGAGCTGTTATTTAATAACTTCATCCTGGGAAAACACTTCCAAAGCAGGCACCATGCAGCACTCTGGGGCAAACGTCATCGCTGCTGCTCAGCAGAGCTGTGCAAATGTTCCCAACCTGCACAGCTCTGACACAGCTCCACAGGGTGGGATATCCCTCCAGCAGTGCCTGCTGTGCCCACCCGCCTGCTGTAGGGACTTGGGATAGCCCCTCCTGGGACATTCCCTCTGGAGTGCCCTGTGCTCACCTCAGTGCCGTAGGGCAGGCGGGATATCACCTCTGGTGCCATCCAATAGGGTGTCCCAACCAGGGACTTCCTCCTGGGGACCTCCTTTGACACTTGGGCACAGAACCCGAAGTCAGACAGTTTTATCTGTGAAAATAAGAAGTAAAAGCCCCTGTTGAGTAACAGGACAAGCCCCTCCAAGCCACAGCTGCAGCTGCAGGGACAGGGATGGAGCTGCAGTGCTTTCCTGGGACAGGACAGCAGCTCTGGAGGAGTGTCTGGGCAGGACAGCCCCGGGAACACACAGCTCATTACACTGAAGGGGAGATGGAGGAGAGTGGCAGTGCTGCTCATTCCTGGTATCAACTGTCACAGCCCATTGCCTCTCCACCAGCAACGGATGGGGAGGTGATAAATGGCTTATAACACTTGAAAATAAAAGGAAAACAAAATATTCCAAACAGAAGCCCCATGCTTGCAGTTATACATGTGATACCCAGTAATACACATATTCAAGTGACACCCACCTCTCCCGTGGTTCGTACCAGTTGGTACAATCTCTGAGTTTGCCAGAAAATGTGGGAAACAAGTGACATTCACCCCACTCCTTTTTCCCACCCACAGAAAACAAAACCCCTTCCACCGTTCTGCCAGGCCCAGGACCTCACGCTGGGGACTGTCACTAAGAAGCTGCCATCTTCAGGCAGCAGGAGAGCAAAGCTGGAGGCAGGGAAGGGTACGAGCCTCCTTGCCAGAGAGTTAACCTGCTCCCTTTGCTTGGGAATCAGTGCTGTCCTTGAGTAGCTGTGGCAGTGACCTGAAATAGAAATAATGGCATACACAAGCACTCCGGAGAGCAGCTCTTGCTGCATCATGTGCCTGGCTCACACTTTTATGACTGTTTTTTTTTAACAACAAAAATTATGGAAAATTATCACCTCCCCCTCTCTGTCGCTGTACAATGCCAAGGTGAAAATTCCACAACAAGCTGGTCTGAGGGTTGGTGGCATCACCCCCTTCCAGAAACAGCTTGATCCTTAAGGCTAGAATCTTCCTTTATCCTCCATGTACTTACTTGGAGGCCTGGAAGCTCTCCAAGGGATTTTCCTGGACATTTTCCTGACCTCCACCACTGCACAGTCCAATGGTGACCCATGCCCAAGGTCCACAGGCTGTGTGTCCCATCAAGTACTCTGTGTCTGGGGAAACAGAGTGAGCCCAAGCAGCCCCAGGACAACTGGAGTGGGAAGCTGCATAAATCCCTGCATTGTGTAGACTCATTGTCAGCACTCATTTGTTTTCTTTTGGATTCAGCACAGACACTACTTTTTTTTAAAGTTATGGGTATTATTTTTAACAAAATTATGAAATGATTGTTGGTATTTCTAAAACAAAGCCAATAATAGCCAAGTTCTCCACGCTAAATGTATTTTTCAGTTTACAGGATGAAGAATGGAAGAAATAATGCATATTTTGGAAGCAGAGCCCAATCTTCTTTTATAGGAGCACAAGAGGTTTTGCATATCTATTGCTCATTGGAGTACATAAAAGACAACGATTTTCTAAAAAAAGATAATTGCACAACACAGCCATGAAGAAATCTGCAATGCAGATAATAAGGACTGGAGTAATGAGTATAATGAAGCACTGTATGCAGATCCCGAGCACAGATCAGATGTTATTCCAGCAACATGAACTGAAATCACAACTGAAAAACTCCTACACACGTGGGATGGTCTTTCCTTGGCAGGATTAAGAGGAGCAGCCTGTGGCTGCTGCAGGAAGAAAATCCCTCTCCCTTGGTGAGTGGGCATCAAATTAGACAGGCCAGCCTTTGGCTACGGAGTCAGACCAGCCTGGGGAGGAAGGGCTTAACCTGTGCAAGGGCAAGGTCTGGATCTGGTTCCAAACCAGATCTTGGGCTCAGCCCAACCCTCCAGGTCTTGCCTTAGACAGGAGTGTAAGGCCAGTGCAGCAACCCTTAATTTCTTTGTGTGCAAAGCAAACCACTTGTGAGCAAGTCATGTGCAGCATTCTGTCCCCTTCTCCCCCTGCTCATTAACAACACAAAGACACAGCAAGTGGAGTACATGCAAGTGTGGGACAGGTTTTATCAAGCATCTGGGAAGTGTGAGAGCTACTCTTACTATCTGGGGAGGCTTTCAGCAGTAATGCAGATTATTTCCTATTTGCACAGATTGATGCTGGGCCTCCCAGCTAGCTTGGGGAAGCAGAGCACGTGTACAGAAGCTGCTAAGTAAATGATAACTAAGTGTGGTAGAAAGAAGTGGTTTTGGAAAGGCATCTGTAGACCCAAACAGAGGTCTCCCATCACCTGATCATCATCTTTACTGCACAGTTTCCTGTGCTTTAGTTTCCTTTGAGGCTTCCATCCCTCCCCAGGACTGCCTGCAGCACAGATGCCAATCACCAGTGAGACCAGGCTAGTGTTTCTTGGATTCAGCTCTGCCACAAGTTATTCACACCCTCTAACAAGTCACCTGTGTGTCACACCCACACCAGAGTTACCTGTGTGTCACACCCCCCACCTGTGCATCACCCCCATCCAGAGTTACCTGTGTGTCACCCCCCTCCAGGGTTACCTGTGTGTCACACCCACACCAGAGTTACCTGTGTGTCACACCCCCTCCAGGGTTACCTGTGTGTCACCCCCCTCCAGGGTTACCTGTGTGTCACACCCACACCAGAGTCACCTGTGTGTCACACACCAGAGTTACCCGTGTGTCACACCCCCTCCTGGGTTACCTGTGTGTCATCCCCCTCCAGGGTTACCTGTGTGTGCCCCCCTGCCTGTGCCTGGGGCAGTGTGTCACCCCTTCCTGTGTTCCCCGTGTGTTCCCCCCCTGCCCAGGGCCGTGTGTCCCCTGCCGTGCCCGGGCTGTGTGTCCCCCCCTGCCCAGGGTCGTGTGTCCCCCCATGCCCGGGCCGTGTGTCCCCCTGCCCGGGCCGTGTGTCCCCCCTGCCCGGGGCCGTGTGTCCCCCTGCCGTGCCCGGGTCACCCGTGTGTCCCCCCTGCCCGGGCCGTGTGTCCCCCTGCCCGGGCCGTGTGTCCCCCCTGCCCGGGCCGTGTGTCCCCCTGCCCGGGCCGTGTGTCTGCCGTGCCCGTGCCGTGTGTCCCCCCTGCCGTGCCGTGTGTCCCCCTGCCCGGGCCGTGTCCCAGCAGGCTCGCCGCAGCCCGTGCTGTGTGTCACACCCCCTCCTGGGTTACCTGTGTGTCATCCCCCTCCAGGGTTACCTGTGTGTGCCCCCCTGCCTGTGCCTGGGGCAGTGTGTCACCCCTTCCTGTGTTCCCCGTGTGTTCCCCCCCTGCCCAGGGCCGTGTGTCCCCTGCCGTGCCCGGGCTGTGTGTCCCCCCCTGCCCAGGGTCGTGTGTCCCCCCATGCCCGGGCCGTGTGTCCCCCTGCCCGGGCCGTGTGTCCCCCCTGCCCGGGGCCGTGTGTCCCCCTGCCGTGCCCGGGTCACCCGTGTGTCCCCCCTGCCCGGGCCGTGTGTCCCCCTGCCCGGGCCGTGTGTCCCCCCTGCCCGTGCCGTGTGTCCCCTGCCCGTGCCGTGTGTCCCCCTGCCCGTGCCGTGTGTCCTCCCTGCCCGAGCCGTGTGTCCCCCATGCCCGGGGCTGTGTGTCCCCCCTGCCCGTGCCGTGTGTCCCCCCTGCCCGGGGCCGTGTGTCCCCCTGCCGTGCCCGGGTCACCCGTGTGTCCCCCCTGCCCGGGCCGTGTGTCCCCCTGCCCGGGCCGTGTGTCTGCCGTGCCCGTGCCGTGTGTCCCCTGCCGTGCCCGTGCCGTGTGTCCCCCCTGCCGTGCCGTGTGTCCCCCTGCCCGGGCCGTGTCCCAGCAGGCTCGCCGCAGCCCGTGCTCACCCTGCCGTCGCTGGTGAGCAGGATGGAGTCGCTCTTGATGTCGCGGTGGATGACGCCCTGGTGGTGCAGGTAGGACAGGGCGCGCAGCACGGACACGCACACCGTGGCGATCTGCTCCTCGTTCATCCTGCAAGGACGGCACAGCTCAGCCCGGCAGGGAAGGGCCCGGGGGCAGGAACGGCTCCGTGCACAGCATCGGGAGCTCGGGATCAGCTCGGGATCAGCTCGGGATCAGCTCCCGGCAGCACCGCGGCAGCCAGGAGCGCGCGTGGAGCCGGGGAAAGCACAGCCCTCCCTCTGGGAAACCACGGAAATGCCTCACTCACAGTAAGCTCTGCCTGCCAAGCAGGCTTCACTACTGGCATGGAAACAGGTGTGGAATAAATATGAGGAAAAACACCCTTAATTGAGTAGGCAAAACATCGGGCCCTGGGCTGTAGCTCTGAGAGCACTTTTATGCCTTCTATAAAAATATTCTGAGTGTTTCAGCAGAAAAAGGAACAAGAGTCCTCATTTCTGGGCACAGCTGGAAAAGCCCATTCTGGGGTCATTCTCTCAGCTGCAGTGCAATGCCTGGCATGGGATGGGCTGGGCACCCTGGTGCCACTGTCCCATCCCTGATGTCCCCAGCATCTCTTTTACACGAGCAGAAGAACACCCGTGGAGACTTCTGCTTTAATTTGTGTGCCATTTGCAGTATTTTAGCAGAAGCTTTGAGGAAAGGTCATGCAATGTAAAAAAAAAAAACCACCCAGAAGATTAAGAAACTACTGTTTTGAGTTAAAAAACAGATGACAGCTCTTAAGAAGTGGTGTCCTGGGAACATCTGTTTGCTGTCAAACTTCTGTCAGAAACATCTAAGATACAGCTTTTAATGGTTTGGCAAATACTTGCAATACTGTGATTTATTTCAGCACATAAGCTAAGGTAATACTCAAAAACATCTGTGTTATAACTCTTGGTAGGATCTAAGAGCACCATTCAACTAGGAGAGAACACAAATTTTCTAACTTATAATTCCTTGCTTTTGCTCCTGCTCCCCTAAATATTCTCTCACTGGTTTGGTGTGGAAACTTTTGATTTTCTTTCATTCAAAAAGAAGAAATTAAATAAAGAATCCCTCTTCCCTATCTCATTTTATCCAGCTTATCAGAAGCAGATGAGCAAAGAGCAGATGTAAAGAGGGCAGTAAAATCTCATGTTTCCCCTCAGAAGAGGCAGAGCAGTTCCATACACTGCAGCTCTTGTGCTGGTTAATTTCCTACTTTAAAGGTGTGATATTAACTGAAATATGGGAATGTGCTCCACCACAAGCACAAATATTCTGACATAAAAATACTTTTCCCCTTATGTTTTGGGCTTGGTTTGCAGATAAGCTTTGTGAGGAGAAATCACCCTTAGAGCAGACATGGTTACGACAGCAAACCCGACAGTACAGATCAGCAAACAGGGAAAAGAACTTTTTTTTTCTTTTTTCTTTTGCCATTTTAGGAAGCAATGTGTAAAAGCTGTGCTGGTGCTAAACCAGGTCCAGCTGTCAGCAGATCCCGTGTAGCAGCACCTCTCGGGTGCTCCTTTCCCTGTGGCTCAGCAGGGCTGCTGCCCGCAGGGGCTCATCTGCAGCTCTGCCCTGCTGATGAAGCCCAGCGAGCGTGGGACGGGGTTAGCTCCATGGCATGCGTGGGTCCCTGCTCCACACCGCTCCTCTGTGCAGCTGAGCAGCGAGCTCTGTGTGTGGGGCACAGCCCAGCCCACCTGGTGTGAGTGACGATGTCCGTCAGAGCGCCGCCCTCCAGGAACTCCATCACCACCCAGAGCTCGTCCCCGACCAGGTAACTGCTGTACATGTCCACCACGTTCTCGTGGTGGTAATCCCTCATGATCACAACCTGCAGAGGCACAAAGGGACGAGCTGGCAATGCTGCAAGCTTCACCTGACACTTGTTTTGACCTTCTTTGTCACCGCAGCTGAGGGAAGGATCTGTGATGAATCACATCCTCCCTAATCCTTATGCCAGCGCATAAACAAAATCAGTGTATTTACACAGAAATATCAGTTGTTGTAAATGCATCAGGAGGAAAAAAGAATCTCTAGCTGATAGAGTATAAACAGTAGATAATTGTTTTATTTCAGCCTGCAGGAACAGACCTGTTTATTTAATTGGTTTTTTATTGCCAATTGCTTTCAGTACAACAGATTTTTTTTTCGACCTGATCAGTCGCTCAACACATCAAAGTAATTTTTATCATGTAGTAAATGGTACTTTGCACAGATTTTCAACAGAATGCTGGAGTAAGACCCAAGAAAACTCACTCAAAGAGACTTTTAAAAGGCTTACTGCTTTTTGTGTACTTTCAGTTAGACACACGGGAGAAATACCAACAAGAAATTCTCCATAGATCAAACAACAAAAAACTTCACTGGCAACTTAAGAAAACTCAGAGAACTCTGGTAAAAGGTTTTGTGCAACACTGAACCCATGTAAAACACTTCTCAAAGCCATTAACTTGGCCCACTCAACTTGGCAAACTGTAAGGTTTTAATTTGATTTAAAGTTCAATTTTAAGTTACTTGAAAATTCTGAGAAGGGGGAATCGGAAGAAGGAGAAAGAGAGAAAAACAGAAAACACACAGAAAGGGACACATACAGCCACCAAGCCTGGGTTCCAGCACAGCTCAGAAAGTCCAAGAAAAAGTAGGGTCAGGACATGTTTCCCTTGTGTTTGGCTTCGATAGCCCTTGGCCTTCCTGGGCCCTTCCCCTGGTGGGACCTGCAGCCATTTGGCCCCTCTGGGCCGGGCAGGGCTCCGGGGCAGGAGTGGAGCAGTGTCCCAGCGTGCCAGGGACTGCTGCCATGCCAGGTACCGGCTGCCAGGCTGGCATTCTGGCTCCAGGGGCCTGTGGAGCAGGGCACTGCCTGGCCAGGGCAAGGCCACCCCTGCCCCTGCCCCCAGGCAAATGCGCCCCAAAATGTCTGGAGACATCAGTCTCTCACTGCTGGTGCTACGGGGGTGACTCAAACCCCAGAGCTGCAAGGCACTGCACAGAGCTGGCACCACGGGGAGGGCAGCCCAGCCAAGACAGCGTCCCTGGCCACAGGGCACCGAGGGCTGCACTCCACTGAGAGTGGCAAGGACGAGAGAGAGGAGAGCCAGGCAGGGCTTCAGCACAGACACTGGGATTCCATCCCTGCTGCAAGAGATTCCCAGGTGACACGAGCGGCTGGAGCGTGCCAGGGAAGCAGCTTGGTGCTGCACAGCATGCAGGACCTGCTTCAAGCTGTCACTGCTCAAGAGATGCTCAGTTAGAGCCACCAGAGCCTCCAGCAGAGGCAAAGCCAAGCCCAAATGAGCAGCACAGTCGTGCACTGTGTAAAGAGGAACCTGGTGAAGTTTGCTGTTTAATATTGTAATTTAAAAATGGCATGTTTTCAAGGGTTTTAAAGAAACCAATCTGTCATGTGCTGAGGAGAGACACACTTGTAGTGTATAGGAAACAAAAGACAGAATTAAAAGGGTCATTCTCACAGGAGAACTTGGGAGTGTTTTTGGTACTGATCAGGATATTTACAAGTGATCTCAAAAAGGGAGCAGTGAACACACCCCAGCAGATGCTTTAAGGGAGTAAGAAGTTAAAAAAAGGAGAAACTCTTCAGGTTGCAGAAGCTACTCTCAAGCCCCAAACAAACTGGGTGAAAAAATGGCAAATGAAAACCTGTGCTCTGAAATGTAAAATAACATACACGGGGCAAAGAGTCTCCCTTAAGCAGCTGTGGGCTCTGAGCTGGCTGCAAGCACTCAGGAGAGGAGATGTGGGAATTAACACAGATAATTCCATGGAAAAGGGACTCACAGCTCTTAGCTTAGTAACCATCAAGACAGCACAGGGAGTGTTGATGGTCAGGAGAGGAAGCAGGGAGGAAACACACAGCACGTGGATGCCAGAAATACAGCGCACACACTCTGGAATAGCCTAGTTAGTTTGGATCCTCCTCTGGGAAGGATGAACTGTCCAGGAGACAGACAGAAAAGGCAGCAGGGCCATGTCTGAGCACCTGACACTGCACGGACCAGCTGATACATTTCCCAGCTGTTTCCTGGGACAGCACCGTAGGTTTGAAGCCTGGAGGAGAAGCAGCTCACTTGGAACTGGAACGGCTATGCAATATTTATACGAGCACAGATGTGTGTGGGACTCCTCACCTCCTTCAGAAAGATGAATTTGGCTCCTGATGGTGGCACTTGGCCCACGGCTGCTGCTGAACCTCAGAACCCCGAGGCACCACCCCAGCCCCCGTACCTCGTTGAAGAGCAGCTCCCTCCTCTGCTGTTTCCTGAGGTCCATCTTCTTCACAGCCACCTGCTTCCCCGAGTGCTTCTCGGTGGCGATGCACACGATGCCCGTGGAGCCCTCGCCGATCTTGATGAAGCTGTCCAGGTACTCCCGGGGGTCCCCGGGGCTGACCACGAGCTGCAGGGCAGCTCGGAACTGTTCGTGGGACACCCTGGAGGGCTGCTGCTCCGAGGAGGAGCCCCAGCTGGGGGGAGGATAAGCACTTGACGTGATGCTGGGGGAGCTGGGGTACGAGGCGGTGGAAATATAGGGAGAGCCGGGCTGCAGGGGAGGCTGGTGGTAGTGGGGCACCTTGTGGTACACCAGAGGGTACTGGTAGCTGCTGCTGGAGTAGCTGACCTTGCTCTGACTCTGAGGTAGCTTGGCTGGGCCCCGGGGGTAGGTGTCCGAGCCGGAGAGCGGCGGGCTGACGACCAGCTGTGCTCGGTCATAATCCACCTGCAACACAGAGACAGCGGGGCCTGAGCAGGGGCAGCGCGCTGCTCCTGCCCGGCCTGCCCCTCCGCTGCACGCCTGGTGCCCGAGGGCCCGGCACAGCAGGCACTGCTCGGCACAGCTGGCACAGCAGGCACTGCTTGGCACAGCGGGCACTGCTCGGCACAGCGGGCACAGCTGGCACAGCGGGCACTGCTCGGCACAGTGGGCACTGCTCGGCACAGCTGGCACAGCTGGCACAGCGGGCACTGCCCGGCACAGCGGGCACAGCTGGCACTGCTCGGCACAGCTGGCACTGCCCGGCACAGCACAGCACTGCCCGGCACAGCACAGCACTGCTCGGCACAGCTGGCACTGCTCGGCACAGCACAGCACTGCTCGGCACAGCGGGCACTGCTCGGCACAGCGGGCACTGCTCAGCACAGCGGGCACTGCTCGGCACAGCGGGCACTGCTCGGCACAGCTGGCACAGCGGGCACTGCTCGGCACAGCTGGCACTGCTCGGCACAGCTGGCACTGCCCGGCACAGCGGGCACAGCTGGCACAGCTGGCACTGCTCGGCACAGCGGGCACAGCTGGCACTGCTCGGCACAGCTGGCACAGCGGGCACAGCGGGCACTGCTGCCCCGGCCGGCAGCATGCTCACACCACAAGGGCTGCAGTGCCCTCAGCACACCCAGGGCATTCCCAGGCTGCTGAATCACAGATCGGCCTGCGCTGGAACGGGCCTATGCTCAAAAAGTGTATTTGCTCTGCATCCGCAGCGCCCTGCAGGCCCTCTGGGCCATTTCCTCCAAGAATCCATCCCTGCCACCGCCATAAAATTCATCCTCTAGCAAATTCCAATCTGTGTCTTGCTAGTACCTGCATTTTGATTCCCAGCTCTTAGCCTTTTCTTACGTTTTTCTCCAGCAATGCAGGGATAACCCAACCTCTTCCTGTGGAGGTGGTGGCACCCTAAAATCCCTGTCATCTCCTGTCTTGCCGTGCCACCAGCTGCTGCCTGAGTGACTGCTTACACGAGTTTGACGAGGAGCCTAATTCAATTCACCATTTCTTAAATCATTTTCCACAGCAACACACTACTTAACTGCAGTGTCACAAAACTGCTAATTTTCATCTGAAATCAGAGAAAATCACAAAGGAAATTATCCCAATGGGAAGCCTGCTTCATTTGTAGGTTCCTTTCTATTTTTTGTGCTTCTCTAAGCTTCTTATGTTGAAGGCTAACGAATACTTCATCTTTACAAACATAATGGTTTGCTTGCTTCCATCCAAACTAAAACCCCCCAAAAGATGTAGAACAAACAAACCCACCCAAAAATTATATTTTTTCCTCTGGAAAAGAACAACTTCACATTTACAATATGTGACTCCTGACGATGTGTGGAGCATCTCAGGGCAGGGGGGCGGTTTGACACAGGCTCATCATGTAGCACAATTACAAATAATTATGGCAATGAGTTCATTTAATCAATCAATTTCAGTGGCAGTGCACAGGGATGGACACAGCAGCAAACTCTACACAGCTCACGGTTGCTACTATTACTGCTGGCTGCCGGCCAGGAGTCCCTGATCCATGTTAGTTAAATGCACATTAATCTGAATTTGGCAGTGTAATCAAGGACCCAACTGAACTGTGAAATTGAATTCTGCGGTGGAACATCATTTGACCATTTTATGCTAAGACTGCAAAAAAAAAAAAAAAAAGAAAAAAAAAAAAAAAGAAAAAATCTGCCGCAGCATCAATTTATCAGCGCGGGCTCTGCACCGCGAGGAGGAGCCTGGAGCTGGAGTTGCCCCCAGCGCGATTTTCTGCCGGCGCTTTCCCACCTCCCCGTGAGCCTTCATCCCACCAGGGCTTCAGCAGGGAGAGGGAGCCTCTCCAGAGGGCTGCTCAGAGGCTTCCCAGCAGAGCTTCAGCGGGGAGAGGGAGCCTCTCCAGAGGGCTGCTCAGAGGCTTCCCTGGGAAGAGCTGGAGTCTGTTCCGTCCGTGCGGGGCTGGCACGCACCCGCCGCCAGGAGCAGCAGCAGCAGCAGCAGCAGGGCTGTGCAGCGTGCTGGGGCTGCTGGGGCAAAAATCCACACCACTAGGGAGTGGATCCAGCACATCCAGCCATCATTCCCCTTACTCCATCAGGCAGGGACAGCCATCAAACAGAAGGGAGTCAGACACATGAATTTCATGAAGGACATTACATCTGCCAAACTAATTAATGTGGAGAAGTGCTCAGATGGTTTGGTGGAGGGAGGGGAACTCAATCTAACCCTGTCCTATATATCTGTGCATGCAGGGACAAATAATTTATTGCTTTGGCTGTAAATACAACATTTTCTTTATAACCACTGAGATGGCGAAAAACTGGTCTAGAAATTCAAGCTGGATAAATCCAGGCCAATGAATTATTTGAGGCTTCACCCATGTCTGGTATTTCTGAGTATGCCCTAGGCTTAACACACTGGCAAAGGAATATTCTGCAGTAAAAGTTCAGAATGAAAATTCAGTGTTCAGTGTGCTTGCTAAGAGTTTTCGGAAGCTTTCTGAGGTTAGCACTGCTGCACAATGTAAACCCACTTCCTGAATCCCAAGAAATGCCACAAGAAGTCAGGAGCTACAATGAGTAAATCAGCTGAAGCTCTCCTCCAAGGCTGTGTCCTGACGCAGCGCTCCCCATCACGGCAAAATCGAGCGCGCTTTATTCCACCAATAATTCTATTTCTGCTACTGAATGCAGCCTCCTACTGAACAAAGGAAAGAAGACAGCGGTCCTGCACTCACTGCAGATCAGGTCAAAGGAGCAGCCAAAGCTGTGGCACCACGTTCATCGTGGCACAGTGGCATCTCCCCCACCTGCAGTCTGCCAGGGGGAAGGTGCAGGAGGGATGGTCTGTAAATCCCACTGGCAATGGCACAGTGGCATCTCCCCCGCCAGGGGGAAGGTGCAGGAGGGATGGTCTGTAAATCCCACTGGCACGGCAAAGGCAAAGGCCACTCTGCTGCTTCGCTGGGGGAAAGCCCCAGGACGCCCCGTTCCACACACAGGCTGGCAGCAGCACTCAGTGCAGCTGCTGGCACGTGAGTGGGGAGACAGGGGAGAAAGGAGGGGGTTTCTGACAGTAAAGGCTTGGCCCTGCCTTTGCAGGCTGGAAATGTCCCCGTGGTACAGAGGGACACAGAGGACCATGGTGACACACCTCTGCTACACTGTGAGGCAGCAAAGGGGGAGCAGACATCATGGGCCCCTGAAAGAGGGACAGGAGAGGGTCCCAGAGAGCTCCTCCTGGGAAATGGCAGGGAAAGGAGCTTTGAAGTAATAGGGCTAGGTGACAGAAGCTAAGAGGGCTGCCTGTGATGAAGAGGAGGCTAAAATCCCCATGCAGTACAGAGTGGCCAAAACGAAGCCAAGGATGAACTCGACATTGTGGGACACCATCGAGGTGGGACACCAGCTCTGTGTGGTGAGGGTAACACAGCACACTCTGCAACTCCATGCAGGAGTCCTGGGGTGAGTCTGCAGGACAGGAGAGCACGAGGGTGACACGGGGGGGCTCAGAGGGAGGCAAATCCGAGCCTCTGGCTGCCTGCACCTCCATGGTTCCACTGCACAGCAGTGGCCAAGCCCAGGGCAGGGCAAGTCCTCTAATATAACACCTCTGAAACCCCTGATGATGAAACAGGGCACACATTTGCTTGGTCTGACATCTCTTACGTGCAAATAGTACTGAAGTAAATCTGCTCTTCACATTTACAAGCCAAAATGAACACCCTTGTTAAAGGCACTTTGATGCCACACATTTGTGCCTGCAGACTTTTTCACTTACTTTTCCACCCCTTTCAATTATACTTGAAACCTAATCTCATTTGGAAAATATCTGACTTGAGATCTGACACTCATTTAGTAATCCCATTTGATGAACCATTATTTTACTAATGCCCCCTTGAAAAGAAGATTCTTCAGCAATCATCCAAGACAAAAAACTCCTGTTCACCTCCGGGAGCTGTGGACAGGTTTGGGAACTGAACTGCTGCATTTAACAGTGAATCATCAAGTTTCAATACACCAAGGTTGTAGGAGTGTTTTTGATGCTCTGAGGAGAGGAACAGCTCACAATGAATCTTGCATAGAGGCATACAGTTTTTTAATAGAAGTTGTTACTGCATTTTAATGGCATATTTTTCAAAGTGCTGGAATCCTATAGTAAACACCTGTGTCTTCTGCCCTATTGACTGGTGCAGAACTGGCAGAAGCAGGTGCTACAGGGTCTCTGAATTACTGGATTTGCACTCCTCTTTTCTAAACTCTGACAAAATGACTGCTTTCAGTAAAGGAAATGGCAGCTAACCCATGCCAGATTTTCCTCCCAGCTTCCAGAATCCACACTGAATGCCTCACTGGTGCATACATACCACACACACTCCTGCCACCACACCCTGAGCTTTGGAAAGGCACCTAAAGAGACCTGGTGACTTTTCTACTCCCCCCAGGGTTTATCCTCAAGCTCCAAAGCCTGCTGGCTCTGTGCTCCAGTGCAAAGAGAGACAAAAAATGCATTGCTCACCCTTTCCCATGGGGCACTGCACCACGGTAATGGCAAAGCAGCCAAAACCTAAGGAGGCACAAGACTGGCACAACTCCAGCCCAGGGATATCATGGATCTGCAGAGACCTGGGACTGCAGCAGGACACAGCCAGTAAGCAGATGCACTGCTCAGCTAGCATTAGAGAGGAGAACAGAGCTCACCACTGACACTCTCCTACCTCAGCATGTGAAAAGTCACAGCAACCCCAGACTTGGAAAAATGATCACCACAGTGCCCGTTGCTAGGGGAACTCAGCGATGCTCAGAGCAAACTACATTGAAAAAGCATCTCTTGCACAACATCAGATGCTTAAGAAGGTCATCATGGTTATGCTACTGGAGGTGTGGGAAAGCACCCTGAACTGAACAGGTGGTCACAGCACACTGCTGCAAGCGGGGCTGGAAAACCTGTGTAGGTAACACACCTCGTGTGGCAGAGCAGGGACAGATTTGTGCAGAGGAGCAGCCTTAGATAACATGGCTGAAATGCTTTCTTGCACATCAACCCTTTTTTTAAACTACATCTAAAACGTCTTGGGTGAGATCAGCTGCTCTGACTTAATTTCAATGCTTAAAAGCAATGCCGAAGGGAGTAAGCCCCTACTCTAATGGGCAGTGAAGAGCTTGTCATATAAAGATGGCATCAATACAGTATAACTACTGAAGCACAGAGGTTTCAGCCTTGCACAGTAACAATTCAAACACAGAAGTATCTGATACACAAACCACGCCAGCGTCTCACCTCCTGCTAAGATCTGCTCAGGCGTAGGAACTCCTGAAGCTACAAAACCTGCCAAAGAACTTGCACTTACTGGGAATTTCAAATAAATTCCCCAGAAGATGGGCACTCCAAGCCTGCCTTTCAGTAAGTATCTTAAACCCGCTGGTCCCTGCCACCCATTCTCACCCCCAAGTAAAGTGGGTGGGTTTCCACCCTGCCAAGGAGCAGCCACACAGCTCCCGGGGACGCTCCCAGCCCCGTGTAGCGCGGTGTGCCCAAGCACGGCTCCCGGCCCTTTACTGTGGGCACTGCCCTCGTGGAGAGGCTGATGCCCGCCGGGCAGGGGGTTACCTTGGGCACGCCGGCCGCGCTCTCGGACAGGCGGGGGTAGGTGTAGGAGCTGTAGCAATGTCCCTGCTGGTGAGCTTTGAAGGCGCTGGCTCCGTAGGGCATGGCCGGCTCCTGCAGGCCGGAGCCGGAGCGGGACCTCTGCCTCATGGCTGGCTGAGGGCTCGCAGGGTCCACGTAGGACGACTTTGGCCTCTTGTCATAGTCCTCCTTGCTGAGGCCGTGTCCCCAGTCACCGTACTCCAGCCTCTCCTTGGGGCACTCGCTCTGCACCGACGCTCGGGATGGGGCGTAGGGGAAGCAATCTCCGTAGTCCAGGGAGGAGCCGCTGGGGACCCGCTGGTACTCCAGCTTCAGGCCGTACTCCAGCGCCTTGGGCTTGGGCTCCAGGTGTGCCTGGTAATCCGGGAGGAACCTGGACAGCTCTGACTGCAGGGGTGTCACCTCCGAGTAATAGATGTCCCGGGAGGTCACCTTCATCATGTGCCCGTTCTGCTTGGCGGCCAAGCTGCCCTTGTAGAACCTGTCCAGCTCGTCCCCATAGAGCGCCTTGTCGCGGAACCTCTCCACCACGCACTCTGCCGCGGTGTCCGACTCGCTGGAGTACTGCGAGTACGTGACGTAGCCGTTCTCCTCCCGCGGCCTCGGCACGTGGTTCGCCGTGCCCTGGTGGTGGCTGGGCGGGCTCTCCTTCCGCAGGGAGTTGGATCGTGTCACCGAGATGTTGTCAAACTCCTCCAGCAGCCCGTTGATCGAAGTGTCCTTTCGAGGCTTGTTCCCTCGAACAATGGTCTGGGAATTAAAAAATTGCTTTGGTTAAATACTGGTTTTTGTTTAGTATTTCACCAAAAAAAACACCAAAAAGGAAAAATGTCTGTGATTCACCCAGGACTACCCACAGCAATGTCTTATGTTCTTCAGTCACGTATCTCATTGCTTAAAAAAACCCCGCAATAAATAATTACAGTAGGACATGAAGAAATGTTTAAATACAGTGCAGATCACAAGCTGGGATTTGGCATGCAACCCCAAGACACTCTCAAAAAGCCCAATTTCAGAGGTGGGTGCTCAGTAGCCAACAATAATACATTTAAACTCACTACTTATGTTTCATTTGCTCTTATTCAGTTGTCTGCCTCAAGCCACACTGGTGGGCTGAGTCGGGTTTACAGGGCATGGATAAGCTAAGCAAGAATCATTCAGCGGTCACTTCCATGTGCTATTTTAACAAACTGCTGGAATGAACAGTAGCATACAGTTAGGTAGGCATTGAATTTTCTTGGTTTTTTTTTTTTTTTTTTTTACAAAAAAGTATGTTCCTGAGTAGCAGAATCCCACTGGGGATTGCCTCTTAGTTAACTTAGTGTGAAAGACACTTGGGAAAGAGGGAACAACACTAACTCCACCTCCTTGTGACACACAGCATCCAGCAAGCCACGGTGCACACCACGGCTCTGGGACACCCACACCAGGGATGCCAAGTGCTGGCCTTGTTTGTGCCCCACTATGCCAAGCCTTCCACAGATCCCATCCCCACTCCTTTATGCCCAAAACACTGCTGCTCCTGGTAGGATGGGGTTGAGCAGTGTGTGGGTACAGTTCTCCTTCAGGAAAGGTTTTATTTTTTTAGCCAGTACCACTTGAGGGCTGTGACACGTGGCTGCATCCATTTCTCACCTGGGGACTGCCATTGAGCTCCACTTCACGTCTGCAAACACCCGACAAAAATAAGATGTACAGATTGGTGGCCAGGGCCATAAATCAGCCAGGCTCTACTGAAAACACATTTGCTTTGCTGATTTACTTTGGCTAAATATCTCTGGCTGCATCTTGCTTAACTCACTGAGCTTTTCAACAGAGTCACTGTGGTCACCCCAAGGAGATTTCCCTGTCTGGAAGTGTTGCACACTGACTGTGGTGTATCAGGACCCAAGCAGGCATGGCAGATGCTGAATGTGGAACACTGGACACCAACCACAGCAGATCAGACCCAGCCTGGGCACTTGCTCTGCACTCATTCCTTTACTCCAAGCATAGTGAGACTGCTCAACTCCTGCTTGAAAGCACTCAGGGGTCCAAACTTTGTCAAAAAAAGCATTCAATCACCAGTAAGAGCACAAAATTAACAGGAATGTACCTCTTTGTCTCCCAGCAAAAGGCAGCTGAGAGAAGGCAGGCACAAAGCAAAGCAGTGCTGACCTCAGGCTGCCTCCTGCTCTGATTTATGTCTGTAATTACTTGCCTAGTTTGCTATTTTGAAGCCGGTGGTACTGAAACAATAGGACAGCGAAAATAAGAGACAGCAAATAGATCACTCCTTTCACCTCCAAAGCCATTCAGCAGGATGAGAGGGATTGGTTTAATTCTGCTACAGCCTCTTAGGCAGGATGGCTGCGCGATCATTCATAATTAATTACCGCATAATAAACCAGCAACATCCGACAATGAAATGCTTCTAATTGAAAACAAGGCTGAAATACCCGACTGCCAGCCCTGTGCAAAGGCCTGCCCAGGAGGGAAATGCCCATTTACCACTCTCCACGGGACTGGCCTGCACACAGGAGAGGTTTCCTGGTGTGCCCAGAGGAGCGCAGGGAGCCCCTGGAGCAGAGTGGCCTCTCCCGTCAGAGGGAAGAGGAGCTGCCCCTCTGCTCCTCCAGGCACGCTCTGTCTGGATTTTCAGACACCTGCAGAAGGAAGATTTAGAAGAATGCAGCTGAGTGTTTATATGTTAAGGAATTCACTGGTGACAGATCCCTGCAGTCTGGGGATTTTCTGCAGACAGGTGCATGCGTGGGAGTAACCTTTTCGATTATGAGGATTTAAAAATAGCACTAATACTAAAATGATCTTACAGGAAATTCTGGTTTGAAAAGAAAAAAAAAGCATTTGCCACTGAAGCCTCAGCCTGGTGAAGCTGTCTTGGACAGCTCTGGGACCTCAGTGCTGTCTCATCCTGACTGGTGAAGTTAAAGGGATTAAGAATTAAACCCCATTTCTTTTATCCCAGCATTTTAAGGATGATCACTGGCAAACAGTGACTTGCAAGTGTGATGGCTGCAATTCCTACTGGCATCAGATTATTCTCCATGATAAAATGAAAATGGCCAGCACAAAGGGATGATAAAACTTACCTATTCCAGAGGCACACTTCTGAATAGTCAGTGCTTTGTTACTATGAATAACAATGATTATCAATTACGATACTTAATTACTGCTAACAACAACGACAATAATAATATTTCTATTTGCTTTGGCTTGTTTTTAAATTTTGCTTTTCCCTTATACGGAAGGCCAGACTTGGTGAGATGCCCCCAGGTTCAATCAGACAGCCTACACCAGCTTGATCTTTTCCAAGGAAATGTCCAGCACCATTCTTATCAAAAGAACTGTAGTGTCCATGGAGAAGAAAATTTGGGAAGTGTTTCACCAAGATCCTGTGAAATACTCTATATTGTCAAGTGTTTTGCTATCTGAATAGAACTTAAAATGTTTATACACAATTCTGAAGTACATTGTTTAACTCTCTGGTGGGCAGAACCATTTACTAGGCTGAAAAAACAAATTAATATCCTGAAGAAGGTATTGGTGTAAAGGAGTAATTAAAGTAATTGTTCTGTACGAATCAGCAGAGCATCAAAATTAAAAAACTAAATCAAGTAAGATGTTACAAAGAATAAAACATATGTTGCACCATGTTAACTTGTCCTGAAGTGATTTACTAGAGAGAAAGTGTGTGCTGGGGCTCGTCAGGACCCACAGCTTTCCTGGGAAGCACAGGCTTTGCAGAAAGAAGTCTGAGATTGGGAGCTGCCATAAGCATGGCCCAAATTCCCAAACCTGAAAGCCTAATGTCAGTGCCAGGCCCACGAGGGGTACCCAGGCTCCAAGGAATGAGTGCAGGGGAAAAGCTGGATTGATGATGTGGGGTCTTGGTTTGGGAATGTGGACTCTGGGCACTGCATCAGCGAGCAGAGGGAAAACCTCATGGCACATACATACAATGACAGGAATCACAAATGATGGCAAACCTGAGCTCTAACTTAAAAAGCAAAACAAAAACCTTGAAAGAAAATGTAACAGGAAAGAGCTATCATGGAAAGAGATATAATGGTAATTAGTGCCATAGGAACTAGACTAGTTTTCCTAATTTTAATGGCTTTATAAAGTGAAAACAATGTGAGGAGGAGGAGGGGATCCTGTCTCTATATTCTAGATATATTTACAGATATTGTTTTCTGAATTTTTTTTACCCACTGACTGGTCTTTGCACTTTTAAACTTATGGAATTTTCAGGGCTGCTGCAGCAAAGTATCCTTTGCCAAGCCTGATGGGCCGAGTTTTCTGAGGCCTTTGTTCTGCCTGCTGAGATCCTGCAATGGAAGCGTGTGCAGCACCTTGTCCTGGCTGGAAAAGTGGGACTGAGCCCCTCAGCCCCCAGGGCTCCACAGCTGTGCTCAGGAAAGCCCTGTGCAGCCCAGGGGGATTGCAGCCCCTCAGCCCCCAGGGCTCTGTAGCTGTGCTCAGGAAAGCCCTGTGCAGCCCAGGGGGATTGCAGCCCCTCAGCCCCCAGGGCTCCACACCCGTGGTGCTCAGGAAAGCCCTGTGCAGCCCAGGAGGGATGATGCTCCCGGATGGAGGAGTGCCGGGAATGTCCCGCTGCCACTCCCCTGTGACAGATGAGTAATGCCACGGCTGACTCTCACAGTGAAATACAAATATCAGGTATACATGTTAAGAAAAGTTCTATATATTTATAGATATGTTTTACCCCTTTGTGTTGTTATCAGGGGTGGCCTGGGTTTGGGACATTTGGGAGGGTTGGCTGACCCCCAGTCAAGGTGTCAGACCACTGGGCAGGGAAAGAGCAGTCGATGGACAGAACTTTGGGAGGGCTAAAGGGTTGAAAGGTGAAACCTCCATTGTGTGGGTGAGCACATGGTGGGAAAACCCTCTGCTGGCGGTGCCATGATCTTGTCTCTATTCAGTGTGCTGCTGTATTTGTGAGGAGGTTTAATAAACCTTTCCACATGCCTGGAAGTGAGCAGCCCCTGCCCCAGCCCGGCACGGGGCTCAGCTGCCGGGGCTCCCTGGGCAGGCGGTGACAGCAGCCATCCCTCACGGTGCTCTGCAGCGCCTGTCCTGCCCTGATAAGCTGTAATGGATCTGCCTGGCACACAGCCTGTCCTCCCCTGTTTCCAGCCGCAGATGAGAAACAGCTCCTGCGCTCACACACTGTATTAACCTTGACAGTAATGAAGTGGGTAATTAACTGTTGTGCCCTAATGCGACCTTGCATTTATTGTCTTTAGAACTACTATACTTTACACACTCGTTAAGAATATATCATCCTTTGTCCTCCTGGAGCTGTGTTTTCTGGAGTCAGGGAGGATTTTAAATCTCTGTGATGTGCAGGGTGAAAAAAAAGGAATTTTAAGGGAAGGTCGCCCTTACAAACAGCCGGTCTAAACTCTGATTTTGCCTCTAGCTAGCTTCTCCCCTCATCTGCATTACACATAAACTAAAAGCACAGCCTAGGCTGAAAATAATTTTTTTTGTTCTTAAGAAAAGGTGCATAAAGCACAGATGGCCAGAATAATCTAATTTTAAGTGACGGATGTATTGGTAATTTATTTTCTTGTGTTGCAAGACATTTCAAAGTATTTGAAGCTGTGTTCATGACACCACATTTTACTCCCAGTGTAAACAAATACGAACGGCACTTGGCGAGAAAAACTGATCCTTGTCATCACTACAGAAGGAGAACTCCAGCTTTCCCTGTAACACAGTTT